AATATGTTTTTGTGATTATCTCACAACCTAATGGTCCAATTTCAATGAAATTATTTTTATTTTATAAAGGTAATCCAGACTTACAGAACAAAAAAAAGTTCATCAAAATTGGATTATTAGATCATATGATAATTATTTTTATTATTTGCACCAATTTCCCCAATTTTACATAGTAGGACACTGCTGATCTTAACCGAATTAGCAATTAATGAATTTAGCTGGAATGATAAATTCCACTTAGCATTGCAACTGGCTACTGCTGTAGAATTTTTGCATGATAATGATATTATTCATCGTGACCTGGTAATACATATATTTTTTTTACTTATTCATTCTAATATCATTTATTTTAAAATACAGTATAAAAAGGCTAATACAATTAATTTTGTAATTGTAGCATGGAAATAATATACTTATACATCAGAAAAATATTAAATTAGCAGACTTTGGTTTATCAAAAAAAATTATTGAAGCATCAAGTGATATATCAAAAGTACTTGGAGTATTACCATATGTAGACCCAAAAAGTTTTGATGACAAAGAAAATTATAAATTAAATAAAAAATCCGACGTATACAGCATTGGAGTTTTATTATGGCAAATTTCAAGTGGATATAGACCTTTTCGTGAAGTTGATTACGGTCTAAGTTTAATGTTATCTATATTAAATGGTAAAAGAGAAAAAATTATTAATGGAACTCCCGTTGAATATAGTAACTTATATATAGGTAAATAATTGAATAGTAAATATAATACGTCGATATAAATATCACGAATATTAATTTTTTTTACTGATTGATTAGCATGTTGGAAATATGAACCAAATGAACGCCCAAATAGTATGCAAGAAGTTGTTTTAACACTTAGAGCAACCATTTCTCCTGAAATTATTATTTATAAAATCAATGAAGACAATGTTTCATTGGAAAAATATAAACCAAATTCAGAATCAAGTAAGGTAACAATAGATGTAAATAATGATTTAAACATCAATAATAGTTTAATATTAAATACTATGCCGAATCTAAATACTATGTCAAATCTAAATGCTATATCAAATACTACATCATTAAGCATTAATGTATACGAAAGTAGTAATAATGTAATATATGAAAGTAGCACCAGCTCACAAAATTACTTAGATAGTTCATCAATTTGCATCAGATCGATCATCAGTAAACCTAATTGAGTCGATATATGGCGCAGTTGTTGATAAGTTGATTAGCTATATAATTAAAAAACATAATGGAGGTATTACTTTTGATCAAGTTCAACAACTTATTGATAAAAAAATGTTACAATTAAATCAAAATGTAAACAATATTATATATTGGTTATCAATAAATCAGGATAAATTACAATATATTTGGTTTCTTGGAATATTCTATTATTATAATTTCGGTACAGAAGACAATAATAGCATTAAAGCATTTGAATTATTTACAAAAGCAGCAAATAATAATTATTCAATTGCACAAGTTTATCTTGCTAATTGTTATTATGATGGATACGGTATTAACTGTGATAAAAAAATGACATTTCATTGGTGCGAAAAATCTGCAAATAATGGAAGTATCATTGGAAAATTTTATCTTGGATATTGTTATGAATTCGGTATTGGGATAATGAATAATGGAAAAAAAATCAGCTTATTGGTACAATGAAGCAGCTAAAAGTGGAAATACAACTGCAAAACTTTATCTCGCTAATTGTTATAAATTAGGAAAAGTAGTTGATAAAGATGAGATGAAAGCATTTGAATACTATGAAATATTAGCAAAACAAGAAATTTCTGATGCACAACTAGAACTTGGTAATTGTCTTTATAATGGAATCGGAACAAAAGTTGATAAAATACAAGCAAAATATTGGTATGAAAAAGCAGAGAATAATGGAAATATTATAGCAATAAATATTCTTAAAAAGTATTATAATAAAAAAATAGGAATTGAAACAGAAAATGATACTAAAAAAAGAAAGCTTTACAAAATTTTATTTTTTAGAAATTTAAGTCAACTTGGATTATATTATGTTGGAAAAATATTATTCAAAGCAAATTATGAAAAATCGTTTTATTATCTACAAAAATCAGCAGGAAATGGATGTAAATTTGCACAATTTAATTTAGGTAAATGTTATCAATTAGGAACAGGTGTAAGAAAAGATACAAGAAAAGCCTTTGAATTATACAAGAAATCAGCTAAACAAGATAATAATAGTGCACAGTTTCAACTGATTTATTGTTATAACTTTGGATATGGAACTGAAATAAATAGAGTTAAGGCATTTGAATTGATTAAAATAATGGCTAATAAAGGAGACAATGATGCATTATATTTGTTAGGATTGCATTATGAATTTGGAGTAGGTACCAATAAGGATGACAAAAAGGTTTTCGAAATACTTAACAAATTAGCGAAAATTGAAAATCAATTTACTAATTATTTATCCGGTGATAAAAAAATAATAATAAATAAAGCAAATGATTGGTATTCTCGAATATTAAGGGATACCAAACTAGCTAATGTAAAAATTATTCTTGGTCGTAATTACATGAGGGGATATGGAACTGAAGCAAATTATAAAAAAGCAATCAAGTTATTTAAAGAGGCAGAAAAAAATGGAAGTTCCATCGCACAATACTATTTGGGATATTATTATTTTGCAAATAACAATAAAGCTAAATCTTTTGAATACTATAAAAAATCAGCTGATAATGGAAATATAGAATCTCAATTTCAAATTGGAAAATGTTATTATAAAGGAATTGGAACAGAAATTAATAAAACAAAAGGTATTGAAATAATCAAGGGATTGGCTGAAAAAGGAGAAAGTTGTTGTCCTCAAAATTATTTAGGAGAATTATATGAGTTAGGTAGTGATATAGTAAATAAAGACTTAAAACAAGCTATTTACTGGTATTGTAAAGCAACAGAAAATGATTGCTTGATAGCAGCATATAATTTGGGCAGATGTTATGAAAATGGAAATGGTGTAGAAAAAGATGAAAGAAAAGCTTTTGAATATTATAAGAATTCAGCAAATCAAGATTATTTAGATGCTCAATTTCAACTTGGATATTGTTATTCTAAAGGAATTGGAACAATAATTGATAAAAAAAAAGCAATTGAGTCATATAAGAAGGCAGCTAACCAAGGACATAATGTTGCACAATATATTTTAGGTATTTACTATCAAAATTGTAAAAGTGCAGAAAAAGATGATGTTAAAGCATTTGAATATTATAAAAAGTCAGCTGAACAAGGGTATTTATACGCTCAATTTCAACTTGGAAATTGTTATCTTAATGGAATTGGGACAGAGGTTGATAAAGCAAAAGCATTTGTTTTATATAAAAAAACAGCTGATAAAGGACATAAAGCTGCACAAAATAATTTAGGATTATTATATGAGAATGGTAAAAATATAAATATTAATTTAGAAAAAGCTATTTACTGGCATAACAAAGCAATAGAAAATGGAAATAACATATCACAATATAATTTAGGTGAATGTTGTGAATTAGAAAACGGTATAAATAAAGATGAAATTGAAGCATTTGAATATTATAAAAAATTAGCGGAAATTGAATTTAAAGATGATCTTAAAACACTTATACAACGTTGTAGTGATATTGGTAAATATTTTGATGCATATAGCGGTGAGTTCCAATATAATTTTGAAGAAATAGTAAATGATTTAGAACTTCTTGAGGTTAACGAAGTGCAGTGATGGCTCTGCTTAAATGAGATAAGGTTACATTATTATTTAAATTAGGAGAATATTTGGATTAGAAAATAGTATTGATGAAATAAAATTAATTTTCTAAATTAAGCTATTAATAGTGTTATTTTTTTGGAACTGAATAATCTATTTTCTACACGTAAATATTCATTCTTTTTATATTTAAAATAATGTGCAAAATTCTATTATGTTTGTTTGAACTTCACTCTAATACTAATAGTGAAATTTATTTACAAATCTTGATTATAATTATCGGTAATAAAATTTCATCAATTATTATCTGTTTAATTACAGTTTTTGCTTGATAGTATAAAGGTTTTAGTACTAATAAGTTTAAGCGCCGAAACATTTTGGCATTTGACATCCCTATAAAAAGTTTTATCCATTATTTCTGTAAAAACTCTGTAAAAATGAGCCTTTCAAGGGTCCATTCACGGAAAATGTAAATAATTCGATAAATTCCGTGATATAAGATTATTAATTCCGTAAATATGAGAAAAAAAGATGGAATATAAAAAGCGGATTGACTTTTTTACAGGGCATATATTTAACATAAATTTCATCAATTGAATTTTTATTCCTAAATTCTTTGTTATGAATTAATTTAGTTCTCATAAAAATTATAGCAGATTGCTATAATCCAAATTCAAAACCTTTGCTAAATCCCAAACCATTTAGCAAATTTTGTAAAGTTTAATTTATTAATTGTTATTACTTATTTTTAACTAATCACTAAAATCTTTAAATGTCCCAACAGGAGCAGTCATTGCCAATTACATTAGTACTAAGAAAACGAAAGCCGTCACGATGTTTGTGACAGGGGCGTTAATAAATTTTACTAATTCAGTACAAAAAATAATCCTTCAGACAATTAAAATAAATATCAAGGACTTGAATAAGATGATCCGACTTAAATTGCTTTTATGAAAAGAGTTAAAAGTCAACATATTATGACTAGGGATGGCAACGGTCACGGTTATTAACCGGTCATGACCGGTTATGACCGTGACCGATATCGGTCGGTCAAAGGCTTCTGACCGACCGTTTAACCGATTATTTAGCCTTTTTTTACGAACTTAATCAATAAAAAAAGCTAAATAGCGTTTTTTTTTTTGATTAAATTACAATTGCTTCTTTTTAACGAATTTTAATCAAGAAAAAAACGTTAAAAAGTGATCGGTTAAACGGTCGGTTAAACGGTCAGCCAAAACGGTCGGTCGGTCAAAGGCCCTTAACCGGTTATGACCGACCGATAACCGACCGTGACCGACCGTTGCCATCCCTAATTATGACGCCCGACAGCCCTGACTTAAATCTAGGTTACAGTCTAACTGCATTGTATAATTAGTAATACAAAAAAGAGAATGTTTTTGAAGTGGCTAATGTATTTATATTTCCACATTAGCAGAAATACTGTATATTCCATGGAAAAAACTTTTTTATAATTTTTATAATTTTTTTTTTTTTACCAGCGTTATATTGGGGCAAAATAATCATGTATATCTTGCCTTTATGGGATAATTCCAGTCAAATTTTTATTACCCTTTGAGATACTGGCTGACATTAACTTAATTCCGGCACTGAAGAATGCGTACAACGGGGTCCGGAGTCAATAGGTTTTAGAATTTTTTCCGCCAGTTATAAACTGGCGGACCAATTAGTATATCTAGGATGATAAAAAAGTTATTACTAATCTAGTAGTATATAAATGGGGTATCATCCGAAGGATGATGACCCATTTATATACTAAAATAGATCAACCGGCTGGAGCTTTTTTAGTTCTGGATGACATTATAATAATTCTGAACCCGCTACTTTCTTTTTATTATCTTTCTTAAAAAGAAATAAAAAAGTAAAAAAAGGAATTTTTATAAAAAAAAAAAGAAAGAAAATAAGAAAAAGGACAAAAAGGCGGCACAACGAAATAGTTTAATATCAATATACTGTATTATAATAAAAGCAAACGTAATATCATATAGTGTTTAATGAGATGATATGTGCGATTTTTTTTTTAATTTGGGTTGGTCGCTCTTTTATTTTTACTCTTTTGACCTGACGAGATTTTTTATGTTATCATGGAAGATTAATTAATTAAAAAGAGGTTAAAATCAATAGACAATCATCTATATTTTAATGGAATTTTATTATTTTTATTGAATATAAGATATCAAAATGGAATTTTTGGATATAAGATTCAGAGATACATGTATTAGACAATAATCTTTAGTGATTATAAATGAGCCATTTCGAATACTTTTTCGTCTTCATCTTTATCATATATTACATTGTTATATAATCTAATTCCTTCCTTTTCAATATCTTTACGTAACTTTTCATACGTATTTGAAGCATATTGAATAAGTAAATGAGATCTAGTACCAAATGGAAGCAACCAATCACCATCTCTATAAAGCAAATCTTTTCTTAAAAATTTTTTACTAGGATCTAATTCTAGTGGAATATCTCTATCCCTAAGCATAAGCGTTGGAATAAGGGAATTACTACGATCAAATATGAAATTCCTGATGTTCCAAGAGGGACCAATATCTGGAGAGAAACGAGTACGATAAGTTTCAATATCATCACGCATTAATAAATCTCCAACTTGTACAATATATTCTATCATCCATAACATAGTTGCTTTAGGGATTCTTTCATTTCCTCCTAATGTTAAAAAAGTTCCACCACCTACTTCCATATGTACACCAGGAAACCAAGTTTCTTTGACAGTTACGGTATCGGAACTGTTTGGATAAATACGACTAGGTTCAAAGAAAGAAACTCTTTCATGAATGGCTAAAGCTTGACAAGCAAAATTAACTATACCAGATACAGTTTCATCATGAAATTCTAAATATTCAAAACCTTTATCAACCGTAAAACCAGGTAGACCATGAGCACCAACAGTATCCCAAAGTCCAAGAAATTTAATAATTTTTTTTTTAGAATCTGGATAACTAAACGTTTTTCTAAAGTTTTCGGAGCCGGTTCCTTCCGGATGATAAGTCTGACCTCTATCACGATAAATCTCATAAGCAAAATCAACCCGTTTATCAATTTGTTCAGAGGTGTCATCACGGTCAATCTTTAATATTCCACAATTTCGGATCATTCCAGCAATACATCTTGCGGTATAAGCACCACGACTAAAACCAAAAAGCCATATATCATCATCAGGATTATAGTGTTCAACTATAAATTTATAACCCTCTTTGATTTTAGTATCAAGATTTAGAGCCATAGCTCCATCTAAGATAAATTGCAAACCAAATTCTCCAACTCCAACTCCGTCTATATACTTGACATGTTGTTTATAGTCTCGCTCAAGCAATTCTCTATATAATACATAAACGTTTGTTCTGGCCATTGGACTATTCCAAGTACCATCACATAATACGACGATATTTTTACCCATTTTTTGTAAATTCTTTTATTTTTTTTTTAAAAAAAAGGGGATTGAAAGTAAGAAAATAAATATATGAAATCGTGGGTTTATTTATAACATTTTAAAATGTGATGATTTTTTTTTTTTTGCATAAAGCGACTAATCCATATAAATTGACAAATGAAAATTACTACGCAAAGCCATCATTCAATTCCATCAAGGGAAAATGATTTAAAATCAATCGTGGGTAAAAATAAGTTACGGATTTTTCTTTTAGCAAACAATAGGATAACATGAATCATTAAACGACATGATCTATGAAAAAATTCTATTATGGTTTTTGATTGTTTTTATGAAAAAATTGTAATCTATTTTTAAATCAAAATTATCAAAATCTTGTTTAGTATTCTATTGTAGTCTTTTTAATTGTTCATTAACCCCAAATCAAAAGGGTAACGACCAAATTATACTAGAATAATTGATTAATCAAAATTAGATACATTGACCTCATTGGCCCGGATAAACTACTTTTTTCGTATAATTGATTGATTGATTTATTTCAGCCCATCACACCCATCGGAGAATCGGACTCGTACTACATAAATAAATTGATGATTATCATATGCTTTCCTAACTAATTTTAAAAAGCGTATTATACTTTATCAGTAATACTATACGTTGTAATTATTGTAATTATTGTTCAAAATTCTATTAAGAAGCTAACTAGGCGCATGTGAAACCAACCGATTTCGAACCTTTGTTTATAATGGATATATAGAAAGAGGAGAAGAACGAGAGAACAAGAATCTGAAGATAGTCCTTAAAAATTTAATGATTGCAATTCACATCATTATTAAACGATTTATGGATTATGGAAATCATTATTTTAAGGCTAATATTTTAACATTTTACTATAAACTACTCTTGTTACAAAAGGTAAATTCTCCATTATTTTTTAAATTATCGAAATTTACTTTAAAAATAAAAGATATTTGAATCAAATAATTTTTTTTCCCTTAAAAAATAAGTTTATTATTTTAAATTTATTAACGCTAACGTCAAGGATAATCGATTATAATATTATATCATCATAAATTTATAATAGTGAATTCAAAAGTCTTAAATATAAGCAACATGTATAAATCATAATAAATATTTGGTAATAATATATATAAAAGAATTTAAAATATGTTTTATATGTAGCGTTGCAGTAATAATCGATACATTTTGCGAAACGTATTACTATTTAAAACGCTACAGCCGCTATTAAATTATCAGAGGTTTGAATTCATAAAATTAATATCGAAAAAAGCGTTACGTTATAAAGTGCATATAATAATCTAAAAAAGCAAAGTCGGAAGTTTAACATAATGAGGGACGAAAGAAAAATATTTTTTTTTTTTTTTTCTTTTCTTGTATGAATAAGAGTATAATATATATAACATATTACGGTAAATCGCAACTCTTTTTCAATAATGTTTAATCCTTTTTAAATTTTGTTTGTTCTTCATTCCTTAATATATTATTATTCACAACAATATAAATATCCGATATACTTGGCTACACTTTTACACACAGTATATGCAAATTTGTACGGATGGCGACATAAAATCACGTGTATTTATAAATTTACCGGTTAAGTTTTTTTAGCCGATTTTTCCGATTTTCTGCAAAATTCAGATAATAACTCGTATTTTAACCAATATCAAAGTAATTTCATCAGGAAGAAAAGCTATGATACGAAAATATTAATTCCTGCTAAAATTAGTATTAATAACCATTATTTATGGTCTGGAAGTAGTTCTATAGTCAGAATAATCATTGTTACACTAATATTTCGAGTATTGTTCTCAATCTGCACGTTAAATTTTTATAATCATATAATTTAAAATATATCAATATCATATCATACTGTAGGTAAAAAAAAATATATTTATTTAAAAGAAACATAAATTTATATTTTATAAATTTTTATAATTAATACTAAGCTAATAAAATTAAGTTGAATATTTATTTTATAATAATCCTAAATAATTGTACTATATATTCTATTATAAACGAGCCCTCTCAAATATATGTTCTCCTACATCCTTATTGTATTTTGTATTATTGTATAGCATAATTCCCTTCGTTTCCATATAATTACGCAATTCTTCATACGTATTCGAAGGATAATAAGTATTCAGATGGGACCTAGTACCAAATGGAAGTAACCAGTCACTGTCTCTATAAAGTAAATCTTTTCTTAAAAATTTTTTACTAGAATCTAATTCTAGAGGAATAGACCTGTCTTTAAGCATGAGCATTGGGATAAGAGTATTGCCGTTATCGAATATTAAATTTTTAAGGTTCCAAGAAGGTCCGGAATCTGGAGAGAATTGAGTACGATAACCATCAAGATCATTTCGCATTAACAAACCTCCAATTTGTACAATATGTTCAATCATCCATAACATAGTTGCCTTAGGGATTCTTTCATTTCCTCCTAATGATAAAAAAGTTCCACCACCTATTTCATTATGTACACCAGGGAACCAAGTCTCTTTGACAGTTACGGTACCGGAATTATTTGGATATATATGGCAAGGTTCGAAAAAAGAAGTTCTTTCGTGAATAGCCAAAGCTTGACACGCAAAATTAACTACATTAGGTACAACTAGATCGTAAAATTCTAAATATTTAAAACCTTCGCCAATTACATAACCGGGTAAGCCATAAGCACCAACAGTATCCCAAAGTCCAAGAAATTTAATAACTGGCTTTTCAGAATCGGGATAGCTGAACGCTTTTTTAAAGTCGTCAGTGCCACTTCCTTCCGGGTGGTAAATTGTATCTCTATTACGATAGATATCGTAAGCAAGATCAACACGTTTATCAACTTGTTCAGCTTCATCAACTTTTATTAATCCACAATTTCGGATCATTCCAGCAATACATCTCGCGGTATAAGCACCACGACTAAAACCAAAAAGCCATATATCGTCACCAGGATTATAGTGTTCAACAATATATTTATAACCTTCTTTAATTTTAGTATCAAGGCTTAGAGCTATAGCACCATCGATGACAAAGCCCAAGGCCGTTTCTCCAACTCCAATTCCGTCTAAATACTTGACATGTTGTTTGTAGTCTTTCTCTATTAATTCTCTATATAACACGTAAATGTTTGTTCTGGAATCTGTACTATTCCAAGTTCCGTCACATAATACGACGATGTTTTTACTCATTTTTACAAAATTCTTGTGGTTTAATTATTATTTTTGTTTAATTATTATTTTTGTTTTTTTCAGTAAAAAAAAAAGGTTTTAATGTTTTTGAAAATTGAGGAAAGAAATTATAATGATTATTTTATACCTTTTTTGTATAATAATAAATCATAAATGATTTGTACGAATGTTTTTTTTTTATTCTATGAGAAATAAAAATCGGTTAAGATTTGATCTGCGTGAGCTGCGGCATTAAATCGGAATTCAATTACCACAAGAAACACTTTGAATTCCTAAATTTGTTTATCGTTTGAAAGCCTATATTCCATTTTTGGAAATTAGCTTCGAAATTAAGTTTAGGAGTTTCATTCATTAACAATAAGCGCTAATAATTATGTGTAACCGGAATAATCTAAAAAAAATGAAACCAAATTTTTAAATTTATATAAAAAAAAAAAAAATCCTTAAAAAGAAAATTCCCGACATTTACCTTTTCTATTATGATTTTTTTGATTGTTCTTATTTCGGAAATACTCCTGAAAAATTCAAGAATTTTTAATCTTAATCGTGTTAAACTTTCTTCTATTTTTAACCTTTTTTGATTGTTTCACCTTCTTTCACACAAAGGAGTACAAATACGTATTACTTGAATTATTCTTTGAAATGTAAGCACGTAACGGAGTTGAAACTACAACGGTAACGGCTATTACAATCTTTTTTTTTTAAATTTTATTAGTATAATTTACTTATAAATATAATGCGTCAATAATTTATCTATCGGAGAAACGGAAGTATCAGTAATTAGTACGACATAAACAATCAATAAAAAAACTATCAATTTCTGTAAACCGATTATAATAAGCCTCATTTCGCTATTTGGTAATAAAATAATAAAATTTTTGGTCGAACGTATTAAAAATATATATATATATTTGTGTAGAAGACATACTATGTATTGTAACTATTGTAATAAGTTTTAAATGCTTTTTAGGGCTTATCATTCAAAAAAAAAAATTCGCCAAGCATTACATCATAAATCCTGTTAAACCAGGATATAATATCAATGAAAAAGTGGATATAAATATTTATTATTACTTATCACATGGATCTTAAGACGTAAAACAATAAAATGAATGAAATTAGAAAATACATTATGTTTCACGCACATTGAATGATGGTAATATATATTGTGCAACGCATTCCTTCTAATTGGAAAAAGTCAATCATAAACCTAATCCGGACTCGATTCAATTGATAAGTATTACAATGTATATGATATGGTTTGACAAATTCGGATTTTTTGGTTCGCGTAACCTTCCAGGTCGAAAGGACAATAAACTTTTATTCCTTTGTTATATGCATCTTTGTTTTTTTTCCCAATACAAGTCTTAATATTTTATATTTATTACATTTTTATAGTAATATTCAACAATAATGATATAATATCAAACTTTATGTATTTTTAAAACATGTTTCAGCCAAATAAATAAACTCTGTTTTATGATTGGATAAACAATCATTCATTTTGCAATAATTTGTGCGTTTAACTCTGTTTTATGATTGGATAAACAATCATTCATTTTGCAATAATTTGCGTTTATTTCGGAGATCACATTCCGATTTAACTATAAAATTTCACATGGGATCACATCATAGCCATAATAAACAGGGTACAGGATTCCCGAATGATCTGCAGATTAGCACCAATCTAGTAACAAGTAAATCGGATAATTGATATTCAATTTATTGAATATCCGTTTGAATAACTCTATTTTTAGACGACCTATAAAAAAAGTATATTTATGATTCAAGCAATATTAATACTTATTTATAATAGTTGAGTTTATAAGATATCTTAATTAAGCGTTACCGGAGAAAGTAAAAAATCAATTCATATACGCTGTATACTAAAATATATTATTCTTATTGTTCATAAAAAAAGTCAAGTGAATACATTACTATAAAAAAATTTATGATATCATTTTATAATTCTTTCGTTTATAAAGTTTGTAAAAAGTTGTAGGGGAATTAAAGCTAAAAAAATATGTACGACCATCACTTCTTAAATCGCTATATTAAAAAGTCGTTAATTTTTTATTACAAAGATGTATTATATATTCGGGTGCGTGGTGTACTATGATTACCGTTAACTTTTTCCTATATTTATATTAGAAAAGAAAGCTGCGTAAATCTAAATTTTTTCAAAAAGAATTATTCGTTGTTAGTTCGTAATAAGTATTGTTAATTCATGTTTATTATTATGTTTAATCTCGTGATGTTTAACCGTTAATAATTCCGTTCAGAATAAATGATTTCAGTCAAATTTACTAACAATCCAGCTTCACACGATTTTCCCTATTAAATAAAAAAAGGTATAGATAAAATTTATAAATATCTGATTAATACCAATAATACCAATGTTAATTTACCAAAAATTCTTTAACTTTACAACATTATCGTTGCTGTAAAATAAAGGTATAGTCAAAAAATAAAGAAAATCACATATGACCACGCTAGCTTCAAATACGCAACATTTCTAGCACCACTCTAAAACCTATAAACAACGACTAAATCCGCTATTAATACTATAACTTATAATATGATTTTTCTATTAACGAAACTAAGTAATACATCATGGCGGATTTATGAAATACCCCAAAATTTGTCCGTCATATCAAATTAAATAAATATTTGAAAGTATTTTAGTCACCAAATTTCTATTTAAGTCCCAAATTTACTAGTGAACAGTCAAAAATGAGCTCTATAAATTTTTTTGTATCCCAAATCTTGCGTCTAACTAATCTCCCATTATCTAACCAATTTTTCCAGTGTTAAAGGCGCGTCATTATTTGACATTTTTTAGGAAAAAAGCTTAATGTTTCTGTAAGTCAATTTTAATTCCCGAGGGCGCAGCAGGGTTTTTGCCAAATTTCATAAATCCGCCGCAATGATCAATTTCCATTTGGATACTCAAATACTCAAGTACTCGAAGACCTAAAACTTATCAATATACAAATTAAAATATGGTACCTGACCTTTCCCCCTCAAATTCTAGTACATAGAAACGCCACTTTCTCAACCAAAGCGTGAAGATCTGCAACATTAAAGAATACACCAAAAGAAATTACATCGTTGTCTTCAAGAATTTAAAAAACAAAATATATAACCAAATCATTTTTCCTGATGATTCATATTAACTAATATAGAACGAAATAAAATTTCAACTTACAGATTTAAAGGCAAAATACTATTTTATTTTTATTTATTTTATTTTATTTTTACTTAGAAAAGGTGAATACATTGTTTAATTACAGACTTGCAACGGTATCATAATAATTTTAGAGATGGGGAGCAGCTCTCCGGCTCAATAGAGTGGTTAAACCGACTTGGAGCGGCTCAGTCTAAACCGACTTGAACTGACTCGAACCGCTCAAACTGACTCGAACTGACTTGAACCGACTTGAGCGACTCAAGCAACTCAAACCGACTCGAAGTGACTCAAACTAAGTTTTTTTTTGTCTTATTTGTCAGTTTTCACTTCGTTCATTTAGAACTATTTTTATTTGCACTTTTGTTGCTATTAAATTATCTTCATTTCTTTTGTTTTATGACATTTTTTTTAAAAAAATTAAAATGATATAAATAAAAAATGATATGGTTCTTAAAAATTAAATTTTATATATTAAATTTTATGAAATTTGTAAATTTTTGTGATAATTAAGTAATTTGGATAATCTAGATAATTCGTCAGTAACACGGATCCATTTAAAAAATTTTTTTGGCTTGAATAAATCCTTAATTCAGGCCGGAATTAAGTGATCGGCACGGGAGTTTCCTTTTTGTAATACAGTACAACATAATGTTTTAATTTTTTTGCAGGTAAAACTTTCCTTTTTTGGAAACTTGTGTACGTCACGTGATACAATGGTTCAAGTCGGTTCAAGTCGGATTTGAACCGAACCGAGCTGGGAACCGTAAGCTGACTCCAAAATCAAGTTTTCCCATCTCTAATTTCGACAGAATTTTTGAGGCCCACGCTCAATCACGTGACAAATCGTCAGCAATCAACAACTAGTACATTCATGTGATTATGTGAAGACCTAAATATAAAATTCCAGTCCTTCCAAGGATTAGTTCCATTTATTTCTGACTATAAATAATTCGATTTTTTAATCTTTGTTGCAACTCATATTTCGTGTGTTAACTCTATACAAATTCATGTAAACTATATTTATTAACCTTACCTGGACTCGCAGTCTGTCGAGCACGTCGCATAAAGCTTCGTCGATCGATTAACTATCTACAAAAGCAATTTATATCCTAGCCAGCCGTTAGTTCATACTACATGTACTATATAATGAACTAACGAGTGAGGTCCCTTAGGAATGATTTGGTGCAAAGTATCCTGTTATTGATGATTAGCAGTTTTATTAAAAAAACTGTAGAAAAGAAAAACACTCTCTGCCTCTTTAAAGTATACCTTCCAAGGCGTTTTGTCAGTTTTAAAGTTTCTTGAGGGTCCTACAATAAAATGAAAAATGAAAAGGTTTAAAAAATTCCAAAGTTAAAAAATTATACTATTCCAAATAAAAAGCAATATTAATTATATTAATTGAATTGTTTAAGATTATGATTACTAGATTATGAGACTATATATAACGATAAATCCTGATACATCGATATCGCATAATTAATCGTTTTCAAAAAGTTTATCGATCTACAATACAAAACGACAAGTCACATGATTATTACATATATTTTCTTATTAACTATTAACTCTAGCTTTTTTAAGGAACTTGATTTTGCATGAAGCAATAAATCAACTACAAATCATTTTTACTCGTCACAATAATAAGCAAAGTATTATTAGATTCGTAACGGTATGATTAATAAACAGATTATCATACTGGTTAAATATCATAGGATAATATTACTGTGCATGATCAGTCACGAGTAAACATTAATTGCATCATCGATTTATATTTTTAAAAGTAATCAAGAAAGTAATGAAATGGTATAAAAATCTCAAAGTAATAATATTACTCCGATGCTTTTACTTTCCACTAGGACAGGTTTCTTTCCAGGACGTGAAAAAGATAGCTTGTCAATGGTTTCAAAAAATTTTTTATATTATTTGAGTAATTATTTATGAAGTTATAATAAAATAAATGTACTTGCATATTTTTATTATATAAAATAATAATGAATAAATTTCAATAATTCTGCTGTAACACCGTTTTTAATTACGTACAGTATATACAATTTCAATTGGATGAAGAGTCACGCATACTACACTTGCAACGAAGCCATAAGTCGTCTTGAGAGGTTGACAGGTTTCTTATTAGTACTACAGGAAGATTTTACAGTATTGCCAACAACTGATTATAAGACACTAAAGTCATGCCCTAACGTGTAATTTAATAAATACTTGTTCTCCTTTTTTGATATTACGGGCTGCTTCGATTCACGTTGAAAAATCGGGGCGAATGGAAATGGTTCTCCGCGTTGAATTGATTTGGATGTATCGTCTGAACAACGGGCATTTGGATTGCAATCACGATTGAAAAAAGATTATAGGGTATAATTGTTCCGTTAATGTCAAAGGATAAAAAAAACAGAATTGGGTTTGAGCTTCATATAAATTGTTAGATAGATCCATGGTTCGTATTATGGAGATCTCCAATAATTTCATTAATTCAAAATAGAAGTATACAGTATAGCCATAAGGCCGTGCTGGAACCAACGAAGTCGAATGTTGGAAGGAGAAAAGGTGTTTGATCTCTTAAATGTCCAAAGGACAAATATTTCGTTGTTTGGTAATAGCAAAGATTTTGAAAACAACTAATAAAAGAGGAATTTAGTTTCTTTGTTTACTATTGCATACAATAAACCAAGCTTTTTTTCGAATTTGCTTTTGGGTACGTTAAACTTTTCGAACTAGTTGATTTGTTGTAAAAATCGCATTACAACCCTATAAAAAATAAGTGTCCGGAAATTGTCCGGAAATTGTCCGGAAAATTTGTCTAAATAATTGTCCGGAAAATGTCCAGAAAATGCCAGGTACCATGTCCAGAAATTGTTCCGAAAACACACTCGTTTCCGGACACTCATTTTGTCCAGAATTTGTCCGGAAATTGACCTGAAATATTTTTTCATAAAATTTGGCACAAAAAGATGATCAACAGGTGACCATCATTATAATTGCTTTTAACTTAAAGTTTTATATCATAGATATATAGTATTTTTGCCTGCTCAGCAAATTTAATTAGTATGACAAAGAAGGTTATGAATGTCAGTCTTGTGCTTTTTGCATTTTTTTACAAAATTAATTTATCCTTTTTTGGAAGTAGCGTCCAGAATTTGTCCAGAATTTTTTCATGTCCGGAATTTGTCCAGGTTTATCTGTCCGGAATTTGTCCAAAATTTTATACTGGACAAATTCTGGATATATTCTGGACAAAGTCCGGATATGTCAAAATTTTAGGTATCAAATTTGTAGCAAAAAATAGACATTTTCCGGACAATTTCTGGACATGCCAGATTTATTCTGGACAATTTCCGGACATTTTCGTAGACATTTTCCGGACATTTATTTTTTATAGGGCAATTGATCCTTTTTTTATATTCTTTGTTGTTATTATACCGAATTCTTGTGATCGTGAAGCACCAGAAAAGCTAACTGGTGACATTTTGATGTTCTTTCCAGAGATTTTATCCAAGAGCTTCTGAACAGAAGCAGAACTCTCTGGGGTGCAACGCTCTTGACTACGAAATGTCTCAAGGGTAAGCTCCACGACTTGGGAACTTACAAAATTTTCCAACTTGTTCGACCAATATGTAACGATCCGAGCCCAAATTATTCAAAAACATCGTATTTTGGTAATGTTCTTTAAAGTAACGATCCTTTTCACGCTCCCACGCATTCTAATCAACACCTGCTACTTGTCATCTATTAACAATTTGAAATAGCCTCTCCAACGCACTTGCTGCTATATCGAATCCATTGCACTTCGCCAATGCCTCTGCTTCTCTCTATTTAGTACTTTTATATTCACCACTAATGATTTTTTGTTCAAAGAGAGAGCAAGCATAAGCGGCATAGACTACCGCAAGTTAAGGATACCCAAGTTTAATGAAGATTTGCGCATGGTTGACCATAATCGCGGTTCTTCAGGTGTAACTTCAATCCCTTTAGTATATTCTTGTCGTGCGGTCTCGAATCCTCCATACACAAATGCTTTATTGCCTTTTTCTCGGTAATTCATTATTTGGGTAGTGTGTAAAAAGATATGCCAATAGTGTCTTCAAAGATGTCAATAATAAAATTAGGAAACGGAACCTACTTTAGATCCCAAAATTTAAAGCATGCTGTTCCTTTGTTGCTTTAGTATAGTTAACAATACGAGTTATCGGAGACATTGTATCAAAGAAAAACAGCAAATATGTGATTATAGGATATATTAATAATAACACTATAATAACAAAAATACAGTAATCTGAATATTGATTGGTATTATAACTATAAGTTTTATATTCGCAAAAAAAGTGCACAAAAAAAAATTTTTTATGAGAAGTGTAAAAGATCCTAGTTTTTTTTTTTTTTGAGCAAATTCGTTCGAACCTTTATTGAAATAGAAAAACAAAATACATACGAATTTGTAATCATGTTGTGTCTTAGACACCTACAAACAATACTTGACTACACTAGCTAGCTTAACAAAGTAAAAACTAAAAAGCCTGCCGGCTCAAAAATGGGGGGAGGTAAAAATAAACTTACCCAATAGGGCGAACAATTGAGAAAAACTAAAATAAGGAATTTTAAACAAGAATAAAAACTCGGTCAATAATTTTAATGTTACCCAGTATCCACTATTCTAAAACCTAAAAAATTTAGTTTGCTATCCTAAATTAATTTACGCAAAGCGTCTAAAATTTCTGCTAAGACCTTTGATCGTGACTAGTGGTGCAGACTTTTGAACCTTAGGTAGTTACGTCATTTTTTTTTCAACGTCCCATCAGTAGCGTCACATTGACGTATGACGCTATAAATGACTTTTGCCATATGGATCTTTTTAGACTTTTAGACTTTACATAAACTTTTGACGTAATTACTTTTAAATTTTTTAGGCTTTACAATATAAACTTTTATTTTTTATTTTATTTATTTGAAAACTGCTTTTAAGTTTCGAAATTTAATATATCGCCATATACTACTCTATAATTTTAGAAGATTTACAAATCCAATCTCTCAGGATGGAGAAAATGAGGACCCAGAAATATATATATAGGGGTCAGGTGATGAAAAAAATTTTTTACTATGAGCTGTACGCATTTTTTCAGGGCCGGAATTATGATAATGCCAGTCGGTTACTATAATAGGAAATAAAATTCTGACTGGCACTATCAAAAATTATCTAAAAAAGGAAAGATTTTCGTGATTTTTCTAGTTCAAAATACGCAAACTCAAACCTGACCCTCTAATATATATTTCTGGGTCATAGAAAATGGATTGCGTGAAGAACTAAATATACCTAATACTAATAAGGAATTTAAAAATAATATAGATTTTAATCCTATTAACATAGTTGATGATGTTTAAATACTAGATTAGAGTAAATTGTTTACATGTTATCATTACGATTTTATATCCTTCGTTTATATACTGGTAATAGTAAAATTGCATACTATAGAAAAATGTTAAATAATGTGTTAATTAAAAGAAGCAGTAATTGTTATATTTTTAATTATATATAAATAATAAAAATATGCTAAATTATTTAATATTTTTATTTGTTTTAATTATTCAATTATTTTTTTTAATTACGTCATACGTCAAAACTGTATGAAGTTACGTCCATAATGTTACGTCACTTGAGACCGCATTACCATCAAAAGTTTGCACCACTAATCGTGATGCCTTACGGGACTTGTCCTTCTTTGCTTCTTTGGCTTGTCAGACTTTTGGTTAATTTTATTTTATGAGGCAATAGAAAAAACCGAGAAATGGTTTAAATTATTTTTTAGAAATGATCCTGTAATTGCAAAATTTACCCATGATTTCATTGAGAAATACATTTAGTAAGTTATGACCTGGATGATTGAATATATAAAACAAAAAAAATTCCAATATAAATAATTTTGAATTATGCAACATGAAATGCGTGATGCTTCTGCACCCAATTCATTCCATATTTATTATAGTAAAATGTTATCATGGTCATGTGCACAAATCATGAGATTCTTGTGGTTCCGGTTAATGAAATTTTGGTTGGACGTTTATATAAGATAATGTCCCCCCCCTCAAGACTCCCAGGATGATGCAATTGGTCGCAGAAGATCACATTGTCATTATCAAAGCTATTAGTGGCTTTTTTTTTATATTTTTTTCAGTTCTTATAAACTGGGAAATTTTAAATTTTTAATACAGGAAAAAAATTTTATTCAATCTCTAAAAAGATGATTGGCTGATTTTAATAAATTTTCTGCGGGTGAAAAGAAAAATTGACTATGATTGGACAAAGTCGGCATCACATGACCAAATAAAAATATATTTTTTCTTTTTCGTGACATTCACATTCACATGACCTGGCCAGTGATGAGAAACCAACAATTTTTTATTTATTTGGCATTATAGACCGAAATTTTTTAAATTTATTTTCAATTTTTCAAACCGAAAAAAAAATTGGTTTTTTATTTTTTCAAAATAAAAAAAAAGATGATTTTAATTGGTTTCAATTTTTTTTAAAAAATATATTATTTTTCAGTTTCTTAAAGTTTGAATTTTTTTTTTTTATTTATTCATTTTTTATTTACTTCTCAATTTATTTATTTTATAATTAACATTAATATATCTAATTTACCTAAATATCGATTGTTAAACTATATTGTAATACCTAAGCCCGTGATAAGTCACATTTGCCACCTTAGATATTGACAAAATAATACTTTATTAATAATATAAATAAATACAATAATATGCTTGGTTTAATAATATTAAATAACGGTTAAATATTTATCCTAAAATTTCTTTTTATTTTCAAAAATTCGTATCCTGATTTTTGATAAGATCAAATATTTCTGCCTTTTATAAGAATTTTCTCGGACGTTACATTCTTAACGTCACCTGATTTTCTGAATTGTATAGTGTAATGCCGTAGTATATCTAGTAAATTTATTAATTGTGAGGCGCAGTATTACATTTAGTCTTAGTGTATAAAATTTTAACTTATTTTTATTTTTATTTTAAATCGGACCGAAAAGTCGTTAAACTATTAGTC